ACTGAAATTTCCTGGACCGCGATAACGCCAAAGCTTGTTGGCATGCACCACTTTAAGCTTACCTCGCCGATCACATTTTATCCGGAAAGTCACGTCTGAGAGACGATCCACTATGTCATATGGGTCTTCCCAACTTTGAAGACTTCCCTTTGGTCTTCCTGGGATTATACAACCATACCTTGTCTCTGGATACAAAGCTGACTTCAGTAGATCTCTTATCATAAGTTAACTTCATCGAATCAGCAGACGTTTTTTAAGTTTGAATGCACTTGATGATGAATATCATCCACCCTTTCCGATAACACTTTCACAAACTCTGACACATTCTCAGACAACTCTTCATAAGGTAGGCGTCCTGTTAACAGATCCACTGGCAACCGAAGTTCCCGACCAAACATCAGCTTTGCTGGAGTGTATCCAATGGCTTCATGCTCTCCTGTTTTATAGGCCATCAACAGCAGAGGGAGTAAGACATCCCAGTCATCTTGGCGCCTATTACAAAACTCTGCCAATTCCTGTCCCGGTGTCCAATTGTACTTTTCTACCATCCCACCAGACTGTGGGTGAAGAGGCGTTGTCCTGGTTTTTCATATTCCGAACAACTTGCAGCATTCATGGAACACAGCTGATTCAAAGTTATGGCCATGATCTGAATTCAGTTCGTATGGCATACCAAACTTGAATAAGAAATCACTAATAACCAAAGGTACAGTTGTAGCTTCCTGATTTGGTATTGCATATGCCTCAGGCCACTTGGTTAAATAATCCATCACCACACAAATGTACCTGTTTCCAGTACGAGTTTGGGGCAAAGGACCAGCAATGTTAATGGCTACTCTTTCCATTGGTGCACCAACTTGATATAACTTCATTGGAGCATAACCCTTCTAGCACAACATGTACTGCAGGTCCTGCACCATTCTTCCACATCTTGCCTCATACCTATCCAGTAAAATCCATAGATGACTCAATGTCTTCTTAACACCAAGATGTCCTCCTGTTAAACTATCATGGGATTGATGCAGCACAACTTCCCGTAACTTTCTCGATGTAAGTGTTTGCCAGGTCGTCAGTTTTCCTTCTACAGTTTCCCATTTCTGGACAAGAATACTATATTCAAGCTTCAACTGGTCCCATTGTTCCAAATAGTCCTTTATCACAGGGCTTAAGCTACACACCTTCTCCCAAGCAGGGTGCAACACACTTGCTTGTAGAAAATCAATTATTGGCTTCAAATCTTGGTCTTTCTCCTGTTCTACTTTAATATCTATATTTGGTTCCATTTCACCATCATCAACTCCTTCAGTCACTTTGACTTCAGCTTGATGGCACATGGTTAGTCCAACCTCTCTTTTAACACTTACCAGAATTTGGCCTTTTTTGTTCCCAAACGTCATTTTATCGAAGTTAACTACACACTTCCTCGGTAGTAAGTAGTCCAACCATAATATGCATGGGTCTTCAATGTCAGCCAAGTATACTTTGTGTCTGTCCTTTATGCCCATGAACTCAATAGCTACCCACACAGGTCCCCACAACCTTGCATAGTGTCCTGTCACACCACAGAGCTTCTGTATGGCTTCTGATACTCCTTTGTGAACCTTGATACTCACAAGGTTTTGCTGTGATGCAGAATCTATGACAAAGTTGCACATTTGGCCATTCAGCTTTCCCGTCACGTAGACACTATGTGTGCTTGGCATTTTACACTTAGCTGTTGGGACTTTCACAATGGGGTTTGGCGGCCATCCTTCAACACCAACCACTATTGGTTTCCCCGAAGCTGACTTATTGGTAGTATTCTTTTT